CTCATTTTCATTCCAATCATGCTCAATTTCAGAAAAACAAGGAAATTCTCATAAAAACCATCACAATTTCCATTTCAGTTTAATCACCCTCAGATGCTGATAAAATCAATTTAAAATCAATTTAAACCTTGCCACCATCTCAAAAACAGTTTAAAACATGCTTTGAAATCGAAGGCTTTACCATAATTTACTTACCTCACTCGCACAGAATAGAAGGCTAACCCGAGTGCCACGGTGACAGAACGATCAAAACCTAATCACAATATTCCACCATTAATACCGCACAACCACAAATTCAAGTAAAATCATCATTAGCACTACCCCTAATCATAGTGCTATTTCTATCAATCTCCACATAACCGGACATCTCCAAATTTATTCTTATATCACAAACTAAACCTTTAAATCCCCCTTAATTATTGGCTCTCGGTGTGTGAACAGTACCCCGTGAACAGTGATCCGCAGTGAACAGTGACTGCACTTCCAAAATTGGCCAAACACTAGCTAATTCACGGGATTTTCTCCCTATAAACAACACAGCAACTAAATCAAGAAATTTCTACCTCAACCAAGCTTAAAACGTGTTTTATGCTACCCAAAATCATCCCATAATTCTAGCACAATCTCGGACAACACAAGCAACTAAATGGACAATACTTAATTGATAATTAGACATAAAAAGGCTGTCCATCATACCAGGAAACTCTGGCGAGCAGCACCGGGTCCGGCTGGGAAGGAAGCTGACGGGGAGAGGAATGGAGGAACTCACGGCAAACCTCAAAATTCAAGAACCCACAACACAATTAGAGTAACCCAACTAGAATTAAGGCTAAAGGGATGATTCTTAGTCATTCCCTTACCAGAAAACTGGGAAGCACTCCACCGGCAAAAGCTGCTCACAGAAGGACAGAGCAGAGCAGAGCAGATTCGAAAATCTGTAGAAGGGAGGGGGATATTTCTAGGTTCAAGAACAAGAAAAGAAGGAGAAAACCCCCAAGCTTTGCCGGATTTCCGACCGGAAATGGGTGGCGATGACGGGGTGGGCTCGTCGAGTGCAAAGGGTCGGGGGAGAAGAAGAGCAGGGCACACGGGTCTGATGAGGAAGGAAAGAAAGAAGAAAAAGAAAGAAAAAAGGAAAAGAAAAAGCAATTCATCCTTATCCTAATTTTTCTTTTTAGTCCCTCGACTTTTGAAAGTTTTGCTATTAAACCCCTCAACAATATTTTCTCTCAAATTTGAACAATCGAAAAGGAAGAAACTTTAATTAAAAATAATAAAAAGAAAATAACAATTAAAATAAAACTAACCAAGATATGAGTTACTAAGGCATTGACTTCACCATAATCAATTAACATGGATTTTTTATTATTATACTTTTAAGATGTTACTATTCATGTGACAGCAAGATTTCTTGTCCTATTCAATATATTTTCTCAAGTTATACCAAGCCTATCTTAATCTATTAATCCACTATATCTCTATGTGAATTTAAATAGACAAAGATGCATTATATTCTGTGAAATTTCCTAATTTATGTAAAAAATTATTACTAATGCTGCACGAACACGTTGGTCCATCTCTGGTTTTCGTTCAATTTATGGTATATATTATTAGAAGTTATTGCATAAAATCTCCTTTCGGTCTCAATTATGCCCTTCAAATCAGTTTTAATGGTGATCAAGCATTAGAAAGCATTAAGAACAATAATATATACTCATCACAGAATAACAATCTCAAAAGTATAAAAATCATAAAAACTCATATGGAATTTATTAGGCTACATCTTTAACTAAATCAGTTCATAATAAAAATAATAAAACTTGAAATCATAATTATGAACATTCAAATATCAAACAATAGAGAAAAAGAATCTAAAGAAAAATAAAACCCAATTTGAGGGAATTAAACTCCTTAATCTTCTATTATTGATGAAATCTTTATCTTGATCTTCAAGAGTGCCCAAAAGAGAACTAAAATAACAGTCTTGGTCCCTGACTTTTGGATTCTGCACAAGTTGATCCTCAGTCTTTTAATCCTTGCATTTTGCTTCTAAAAATTATGATTTTTTCCAATTAAGTCCTTTCTACACAAAGAATGAAAATTATATAAAATCAAATAAAATCTCATAAAAGTCATCCAAATATCAATAATAACAAGACAAAAATTTCACATTAATATCTATATAAATTTAGCTTATCAGGCGGCTTAAGGCACAATGGAGATAGGCAGAAATTATAGGAGGGCAAAAGGAGTTTGCAAAGGCCTAATTTTCCAATGCAATTCACTGGAAAATATTACAGGTCAGTTACTCAATATCTTTTTTTTTTTTCTGAAATGCAAAGAAATTACATTATTTATTTAGGGAGTACAAGGGCCACCCTAAACCCATTTCAAGGGATTGAGTCTAGTTCAATACATGATCCCACCCAAAATTACATTTACCTTCAATAGGGTAGTTCTATGTGTCAATCATAGGTCCTGTAGCCATCCTCTTTCTGCCATAGTTAAACTTTAGGCATCCTACTGGGTTATGGATCCAATCTGATAGGGAGAAGATACAGCCTCCCCTTTTGCATTTAATCCAATTCAACACCCTTAGCTGGACTAATTCCAATAGCCTTCCTTTATCAACCTCCTTCCCACTAAATATCTTTTCATTCCTGGCTAAGTAGATTGTCCAGATCACAGTGAACCAAATACATTCCTAGCCTACCTTCTCCCTTGTCATTTTGAATACATTGGGATGCTGTTCAAAAACCATCCAACAATCTTTATCAAGCACAATACTTATATCCCACCACTTAAAGCAGTTAGCCCACAAAACAAAAGCTATTTGCAGTGGATGAAACGATGGCTTGTGTCCTCTATTTCTATTCCACATAAAGCACACTTGCACTCTTCAAGATCCTTTAGTATTCCCTTTTTAAAGAGATTAAATTTTGATGGAATTTTATCCTATAATAGTTGCCACGTGAAAGTTGAGATCTTCTTGGGGATGAGTGGGTTCCAAACTTTTTGAAGTGTAGATCCTTGATGTTCCATTCTATTATCCATTGTAAGTGTCTTGTACGCTGATTTTGTTGAATAGCTTCCATCCTTGTTGTTAATCCATTCCCACAAATTTGGTTTTCTTCTTTTAATTATGATTTCTTGGATTTGCTTATATAGCTCTATTTCTTGTTGTTTTTCCCAACTGTATAGGCTCCTTCTTGATAAGTTGAATTTATATAGATATTAATGTGAAATTTTTATCTTGACATTAATGATATTTGGATGAATTTTATGAGATTTTACATAGTTTTCATTCTTTATGTAGAAAAGGACTTGAATGCATAAAAATAGGAGTTTTTGAGATTAATTGAACATCTTTTGAAAGTTGAGGGATTGAATTGCAAGAAGAAGGGCACCTCTTTGGGACTTCAATGAATGAAACTTGAGTTTTGGGATCTAAGTGCTCATCGTACGAAAGCTGGAGGACTAGGTCTGCTATTTTACCATTGAAGAAATTGCAAAGCGAAACCAGAAACTCGACATGGGTGTAGTGTAGACACATAATTTAGGTGTCGACACTATACGTTAAGTGTTTAGAATTAGACTTTATGTTTCTTGTTTTGTGTCGATACGTAATTCGGGGTGTCAACACTATGCGTTCAGCATCCAAATTTCAACTTTCCTATTTTGCTTCAAGTCCTACTTCTATTCCAACTAGAGTTTCTAAAATCCTATAAATACCTATCCAAATTCAGAATTAGGAGCGCTTGGTGGAGGTTGGTGGCAGCCTTCTTTTGGGCATTCTTAAAGATCAAGAGAGAATATTCAACAATAGGAGATCAAGGATTGCAATTTTCTCAAATTGGGTTTTATTCTTTCCTATTATTCTTATGTTCATAACTATGATTTTAGATTTTATTATTTTTATTATGAACTGATTTATTCTACTAAGGTTATAATGTAACCTAATCAATTCAATATAGATTTTGTGATTTTATGCTTTCAATTAAAGTTATTTGCATGAGGAGTTTATATTAGTGAACTTAATGCATTAGAAGTCTGATAATCTTTTGATTGATTTAGTGATTTATGCATGAACTTGAGAAAGAATTGTGTAAATTAGACCAATAATAATATAAACCGTGTGCTAGACTATAAGACCAAGAGGTAATTAGCTCACATGTGGTAGTGGAGAAAGAAAAGAGAGTTAGGAGCTCTCCCTTTTTAAGCTAGTGGTTTCCATAGAGATATGATTAATTTAATAAACAAGTGAATGATTAACTTGACTTGAGAAAATTAGTTAATTAATTTAGGGAAATCCGCCATCACATGCAATAACACTCAACAAATTAGCATATTAATTCAAAATTTATATTGATTGATTATGGTGAAATCAATGCCTTAGTACCTCATATCTTGGTTATGTTTAATTTAATTGTTATTTTTCTTTTATTATTTTTTAGTTAAACTTTCTTCCTTTTTGATAATTCAAATAAATTTAGATTAATTATTTT